CCCCACATTCCACTCAAGCCAAGGGCCTCAACTTAACCTAATCTGGTTTTGTTGCACCCACAACCTGCATCCCCAATCTTCATTGTGTAGAGACCTCGAGATGACCCAACAGTTGCGGACAGCCAATGGAACGACATGGCTTGGGCTCGAGTGAGTCAAACGAGCTTCCTCCACATCAGCCAGGTTTTAAACACACAGCCTCAATATGAATTGTGGATGCACACCACGTGCTACCAAGCCTCTTCCCCACCCTGTAAGTGGAATGCATCTTCTGTATTTCTTTCCATGTTCAATGATTTGAGTACTTCATCTTAGAAATTTTCAATAAGGCAACTCTCGTGGGGCCAGCAGGATTCTGTGTGAAGGAGTGCCCGTTGTAGAAGAAGAAATCGATGTTTGCCAGCGGGGACGTAGAACAAAGAAAGGAAAAAAGTCGCCGATGGAATGAATATGGCTTGGGCTCGAGTCGAACAAGCTTCCTCCATGTCACATTTCTCTCTAATTTTCTCATGGATTGCGGATGCACACCGAGTGCTACCAAGCCTTCTTCACTTGTTGAATAGATTGTAAATTCGAAATCACACTGTGGTTGAACAACGGTTGACCTCCACTGGCAGATTGCTGGGAAGTGAACTGGCATGGGTTGGGAGCATTGATCGAATCACTTATAAGGCTAGGGCTTCATCATGACAGGAGAGGTTGGTAGGGAGGGAGCAAAGGGCAAAAAAAAAAAAAAAAGACTGGAAGGCTGAAGTCGTGATGGCTTGGGCCCGAGTCGAACGAGCATCGTCCACATCACGCAGGTTTTAAACACACAGCCTCAATATGTACTGTGGGTGCACACCGTGTGCTACCAAGCCTCTTCCCCTCCCTTGTAGACCCCGTAGGTGGAATGCATCTTTTGTATTTCCTGCGTGTTCCAATGATTTGAGTTGAGTACTTCATTTAAGACATTTTCAATAACGCGACTCTCGTGGGGCCAGCAGAATCTATATGTGCCCGTTGTAGAATAAATCAATCGATGTTGGCGGCGGGACGTAGTAGAAAAAAAGGAAAAAATGCTGGATGGAATAGAAATGGCTTGGGCTCGAGTCAAACGAGCGTCGTCCACAACATCACGCTTGCGCTGAGTCTCGACGATGGAAGGTGGATGCGCACCGCGTGCTACCAAGCCTTCCTCACCTCCCTTGTAGACCCTGTAGGTGGGATGCATCTTCTGTATTTCTTTGCATGTTCCAAATTCCAATGATTTGAGTTGAGTACTTTATCTAAGAAATTTCAATAATAAGGCAACTCTCGCAGGCCCAGCAGAATCGATATTCTGTGTGACACAGTGCGCGTTGCTGTTGTAGAAGAAGGAATCAATCGACGTTTGACAGCGGAGACGTAGAACAAAGAAAAAAGGAAAAAAAGACTGGATGGAATAGAAATGGCTTGGGCCCGAGTCGAACGAGCGTCCTCTACATCGCATTTTTTGAAAAACTGGAAAACGAAAATACAGTAGATGCACACCGTGTGCTACCAAGCCTTCCTCGCCTCCCTTTTAGACCCCGTAGGTGGAATGTGTCTTCTGTATTTTGTTGTGTGTTTCAAATTCCAACGATTTGAGTAAGTACTTCATCTAAGAAATTTTCAATAAGGCAACTCTCGTAGGCCCACTGAGCAGAATTGATATGTGTGAAGCGGTGCCCGTTGTAGAAGAAGAAATTGATATTTGCAGAGATGTAGAGAAAAAAGGCCAGGAAGCAAACTCCAACATGGCTTGGGCTCGAGTCGAACGAGCTTCCTCCACGTCACATTTCTCTCTGATTTTCTCATGGATTGTGGATGCACACCGAGTGCTACCAAGCCTTCTTCACCTGTTTCCTAAGTTGAATAGATGGTGAATTTGAAATGACACTTAGGTTGAACAACAGTTGACCTCCACTTGGGGATAATTCTATTCAGCAACCCGGGTTGCTGCTATTCAACAACCCCCATTATTTTTCTTCTATTCAGCAACCCCCAGGGCTTGGCGAGATAGCGAAGATCCGGCCACTCAAGGCATCCGTGCCGGGGGAAGGCCGAACGGCCCGCGTCGGGTGTTCGCCCGGCCACACGATTTGGTCAACTGTGGGCATCGAACCAAGTCAGGTCACGGCGAACGGCCATCTAGAGAACAAGGTCACATTGCTTGATTTTCCTTCGTAGGGTGAGGAGCACCTAACAGCGAGCCGCCTGTGGTAGAATTGATTCCATCACTGGTATATATATATCTTTCCCCGACGAAAGGTCCAAGAAATGCTCCAGTGAAAAAATATGAAACTCCCCCCACGGCAATTTAACGGCCTCTTCAAATACATAATCGATAAGAACGGGGCAGACTTCAGGCTTCAGCAAAGAACAAGTCCAACGGCCTGATCCCATCGCGTTTTGGTGTGCCCATCAGAGGAAATTGGATGACATGGTTATGAAAAATAAGCGGGGGGTTGCTGAATAGAAAATCACTATCCAGCAACCCCAGCAACCCCAAAAGCGGGGTTGCTGATTAGAATTATCCTCCACTTGGCACTGGCAGATTGCTGGGAATAAAATAAAGTGAACTGGCATGGGTTGGGAGCATTGATCGACTCACTTAAGTTAGAAGGCTAGGGCTTGACAGTAGAAGGGAGCAAAGGGCAAAAAATGATTGACTGAATGGACATGGCTTAGGCCCGAGTCGAACGAACTTCTTCCACATTATTCCGCTGATGTCGGAGCACTTAAATATGGAAGGTGGATGCACACCGCGTGCTACCAAGCCTTCCTCGCCTCCCTTGTGGACCCTGTAGGTGGAATGCATATTCTGTATTTCTTTGCGTGTTCCAACGATTTGAGTACTTCATCTAAGGAAATTTTCAATAATAAGGCAACTCTCGTAGGCCCAGCAGAATTCTGTGTGAAGCAGTGCCCGTCGGAGAAGAAGGAATCGATGTTTGCTGGCGGAGACGTAGAAACAAAAATATCTCGATGGAACGAACATGGCTTGGGCCCGAGTCGAACGAGCTTCCTCCACATTTTCCCGCTGTTGTCGGAGCACTCAAATATGGAAGGTGGATGCACACCGCGTGCTACCAAGCCTCTTCCTCCCATCCCTGTAGGTGTGATGCATCTTCTGTATTTCTTTGCGTGTTCCGAATTCCAATGATTTGAGTTGAGTACTTTATCTAAGAAATTTTTCAACAACGCAACTCTCGTAAGCCCACTGAGCAGAATCGATATTCTGTGAAGCAGCGCCCGTTGCCGTTGTAGAAGAAGAGATCAATCAATGTTTGCCAGCGGATACGTAGAACAAAAAAGGAAAAAGGAGGCAACGGAATAAGTATGGCTTGGGCCTGAGTCGAACAAGCTTCCTCCACATCACATTTCCTTCTCTCGTCTTATGGATTGTGGATGCACACCGAGTGCTACCAAGCCTTCTTCAGCTGTTTTCTAGGTTGAATAAATGATTTTGAAATGACACTGTGGTTGAACAACGGTTGACCTCCAGATTGCTGGGAATAAAAATGAACTGAACATGTTTGGGAGTGCTTGTGGACTCACTTAGCTAGTACTTGACAGGAGAGGTTGGTGGGAAGGGAGCGAAAAAGAAAAAGAAAAAAGAAAAACAGAACTTGCAATGGCTTGGGCCCGAGTCGAACGAACTTCTTCCACATTATTGCGCTGTTGTCGGAGCACTTAAATATGGAAGGTGGATGCACACCGCGTGCTACCAAGCCTTCCTCACCTCCATCGTAAACCCCGTAGGTGGAATGCATCTCCTGTATTTCTTTGCGTGTTCCAACGACTTGAGTTGAGTTGAGTACTTCATGTAAGAGATTTTCGAATTCAATAACGCAACGCTCGCAGGCCCAGCAGAATCAATATTCTATTCTGTGAAGCAGTGCCCGTTGTCGTCGTAGAAGAAATCAAGATAGAAAAAAAGAAAAAAAATCTTGATGCAACGAACATGGCTTGGGCCCGAGTCGAACGAGCTTCCTCCACATTATTCCGCTGTTGTCGGAGCACTCAAATATGGAAGGTGGATGCACACCGCGTGCTACCAAGCCTCTTCCCCTCCCTTGTAGACCCTGTAGGTGGAATGCATCTTCTGTATTTCTTTCTTTGCGTGTTCCAATGATTTGAGTTGAGTGCTTCATCTAAGAAATTTTCAATAATGAGGCAACTCTCGTGTACATAGGCCCAGCAGAATCGATATTCTATTCTGTGAAGCAGTGCCCGTTGTCGTCGTAGAAGAAATCAAGATAGAAAAAAAGAAAAAAAATCTTGATGCAACGAACATGGCTTGGGCCCGAGTCGAACGAGCTTCCTCCACATTATTCCGCTGTCACGTATACACTCCCGAATGGATTGTGGATGCACACCGCGTGCTACCAAGCCTCTTCCCCTCCCTCGTAGACCCCGTAGGTGGGACGCATCTCCTGTATTTCTTTGCGTGTTCCAAGGACTTGAGTTGAGTGCTTCATCTTAGGAATTTTCAATAAGGCAACTCTCGTGTACGTAGGCCCAGCAGAATCGATATTCTGTGACACAGTGCCCGTTGCCGTTGTACAAGAAGAAATCAATCGACGTTTGCCAGCGGGGACGTAGAACAAAGAAAAAGGAAAAAAATGCTCGGGGGAATAGGGATGGCTTGGGCCCGAGTCGAACGAGCTTCCTCCACATTATTCCGCTGTCACGTATACACTCCCGAATGGATTGTGGATGCACACCGCGTGCTACCAAGCCTCTTCCTCGCCTCCCTTGTAGACCCTGTAGGTGGGATGTGTTTTCTGTATTTCTTTGCATGTTCCAAATTCCAATGATTTGAGTACTTCATCTAAGAAATTTTCAATAATAAGGCAACTCTCGCAAGCCCAGCAGAATCGATATTCTGTGTGAAGCAGTGCCCGTTGCCGTCGTAGAAGAAGAAATCAATCCACGTTTGCTAACGGGGACGTAGAACAAAGAAAAAGGAAAAAAAGACTTGGATGGAATAGAAATGGCTTGGGCCCGAGTCGAACGAGCGTCGTCTACATCGCATTTTTTGAAAAACTGGAAAACGAAAGTACAGTAGATGCACACCGTGTGCTACCAAGCCTTCCTCACCTCCCTTGTAGACCCTGTAGGTGGAATGTGTTTTCTGTTTTTCCTTCAATGTTCCAACGATTCGAGTCCTTCATCTAAGAAATTTTCAATACCGTAACTCTCGTAGGCCCAGCAGAATCGATATTCTGTGTGACACAGTGCGCGTTGCCGTTGTAGAAGAAATCAATCAATGTTTGCCAGCGGAGACGTAGAAAGAGAAAAAAAAAAAAAAGACTGGATGGAATAGAAATGGCTTGGGCCCGAGTCGAACGGGCTTCCTCCAGTGTCACATCGTATTTCTTCAAAAACCGGATCACGAAAGTACAGTAGATGCACACCGTGTGCTACCAAGCCTTCCTTGGCCCTGGCCTCTTCGCTAGTTGAGGGTGAGGAGATTAGATTAGATTAGGTTGGTTTGGAATGACACTTAAGTTATGAACAACATCCGTTGACCCCGAGATTAAGTACCAGTGAAGTTGGGTTCGGAGAGGGGGGAGGGAAAAAAGAAAATGTGGAGTGGAGTGGTGCGCATTGCAGAAGAAGAAGAATGGGTGTTTGTTTGGGTTGGCGTGGGTGTGGGTGTGCGAGCTGGGGTCAAGTTCAAGTTGGATGCAAAAGAGCCTGACTGAGTGCCGTCATGGCTTTGCTGCAGGTTGGCTCCACTTGAATCGAAGAGGATTTGTCCGAACGTCTATGATATAGACCGGCATTCCACAGGCGACAGCACGAGACGGGGATCAACTCCTTGGCAGGAACTGAATTCGGCAGAACCCAGTGCCAGTGGCAGAACCAGATCAAGGTCCCACAAGATGCAGGGTTTGCTGGCAGTCGAACCCCCCGTGTGGGGTGGTCCCACAGTGCGAGCAGTCCAGTAGCTTGGGTCTATGTACCGTCTTCTGTCGAATATCTTTGGCCGAGCAGCTGGTGCAGTCGAATCCGAGTCGCTCCTGCTTTAGGCGCTCAGCGAGTCAGTCTCCGGGTGCGGTGAGGAACTGAATTCGGCAGAACCCAGTCCGAGTCACGGTGGCGGAAACAGCGCACGTCCCACAAGATGCAAGGGTTTGCATTGCATGCTGGCAGTCGAGGTGGTCCTCTAGTCTCGTTCCGTCTCCCACAGTGACAGAAATCCAGCGCGTCGGGCGGGTCCCGAGAATAACCTGTTCGCAGGGATTCGATAGTTGCTGCGGGGCAGAATTGCACAGTGGTAACCGCGCGCCGCAGAATTAGACCTACGAGCCTCCCAGCCTCCACCCAGCGTAGCTTGAAGATTGAGAGCGCCCGCATACGCACCGAGGACTGGCTTTGTTTCTAGGGAGATGATAGATGCACTATAGAGGGTGTCCGAGGCGATCTTTTATTAGGCTAGTGCGGTGGCGGCGACTCGAGTCCTCACGGGTCCTTCTAGATGGCATGGAGGGTGGACATACGCATATATAAGTTGACTGGCCGTAGGCGAGGTCGGGTAGTAGGCATCTGAGACAGTCGGTGAGAAAGGCATTCCACCCAGGTTCTTCTTTTATTTCTTGAAATCTGCTCTTGGAGAGTCGAGTCCTCGAAAAATGTTAGATCCAAAACCAGCAAAAAATATTTACCAGAACACCCCAGCGCGAAACGGCACACGACCATCCCCACAGAGTTTCTTATAGAAATTGGGTGCTCAGCTGACCCCTTTCGGCCGGTCACATGTGATGCCGTACACCTGCATCTGACCTCCGCGCAACTCAGTCCGTCGACGACTGTCTGAAGTGGACCTTAGAGCGGCGTAGATTCGACTAGACCTCTTCCTCTCCCATAGACTCCCCTGTACACCATACACCACCCAGGGCCATACAGATACAGGATACAGTAGATTCTAGACGGAGTAGGGGATTGGCATTTGTAGGCACAGGCAGCAGGATCTTGGAGGACTCAAGACTTCAAGGCACCGCACAAGAACGAAGAGCGGGAACACGATGAGCGGGCAGCAAGAGAGTATCGAGGGGTCTACTGGGTCTACTGGGTCTAACGGCGGCACTGGGTCTAATAACTATGGAAATAACGGGAACAGCACCCAACCCCCGCACCTTACCTCCCCCGCCCTCACCTCACCTTCCCTCGCATCACACTCCCCCTCCCTCGCCTCACCCACCACCTCCCACTCTAACAGCCAGGGTCCCTGGGGCGGCCTCCTCGGTGCGCACGGTCAAGTGCGCAGCGCATCCTTCAGCGGCGCCGGTTTCGGCAGCAATGGCGGCGGCGGCGGCGGACGCTTCGCAGGGCCGACCTTCGAAGACGACGAGCTGCTCGACGCCGGGGGCGACGACGAGGAGCTGTACGACAACGTCGGGCGGTATCACCCCTCCTCCAACAACGCGAATAACTACCGCGGGCGCACCGGCTTGGCGCAAGATTTAACGAGGAGCCGGTCGCAGAGCATCGCGACGACGACTGCGTCTGCGGCGATCGGCGCGGGGCGGGCGCTGCCCATGGGGATCGGGTCCGGCGCCGGCGCGGGGGGCGCGGGGGGCGGGTACACCAGCGCGGCGAACTCGTACGCGAACGCGTACCTGTACGGGAACAACGCCTACGGACACGCACCCGGCGGCGGGAGCCGCTTTGGCTCGCTCGGCGCCGGGCTGTCGGGCTCGCCTCTCGGACGGCGGGACAGCCGGGACAGTCTGGGCGGACTGGGGCGGAGCATCGGGCGCGACGCGGACGACGGGACGAACACGTCGCCGTTCGTGCGCGCGCAGGACGTCAGCTCGCTCCTGCTCGACGACGGCAGCTTCCGCGAGCTGTGGGAGCGTGAGCGCGGCGGGGGCGGGCACCAGTATTCGTCCGCCGCGCGCGAGCGGGAGTACCCCTCGTCGTACGGCGGGGGGCGCGAGTTTCCCTCGTCCCTCGGCGGTGCGCGCGATTCGGGATATGGCGGCTCAGGCGCGGGGTACGGGGGCGGGGGGTACACCTCGTCCTACGGCGGCGGCGGCGGCGGCGGGTACCACCCCTCGGACGACCTGCACCCCATCCCCGGGAGCGGTGCGACCTCGCGCCGGCACTCCGTCAGCGTCCTCCCTCCCATGCAGCAGCCGAGGCGGGTGGTGGGCGGGTTTAATGCGCCGGAGAGCAGCGTTTCGCCTGTTGGTGGGGGCGGGGGCGGGGGTGGATTTGGCGGGAGGGGAGGTGGTGGAGGTGGACTGCTACTTAGTGACGACGACCTTGAGGTGGGTTTGGTTTTTTTTTTAAGGGCTCTTTTCTTTTCTTTTTTCGTTCCACGTACTCGCGCCCTCCTTTGATTTTCTCTCCTTTATTCCCTTTTCGATTTCAATCTTCTTTCGCTACCCGCTCGTTCCCCCGTTCCCCTTTTCCGGCTCTGTGTATTTACATTTTACTTCCCATCTTCCATCTATTCTCTCGCTCGGGCTTCGTTCGTTGTCTTTCCTTCCATATCTACCTACCTACATGCATACTCTCCTCCGCATCCCCTCACCCTCCCTCCTCGGTCGATATTCTGTGGTTTATACCTCCCTCCCTCTCTCCCTTCCGTCGTCCTTTGGTCTTATTTTCGCCCCCCGTCCACCATACCTTCCTCCGCCTTTCGTCCTCCCCTCCCTTCCCTTCCACTCCTACCCTCTTAATAATCCCTATCCGCGCTCAAATCATCCCCCCCCCTTCTTTCCGCGCTCTATCGTCATTATTTTACTCCCTTCGCTTTGCCTCGTACTTCCTTCTCTTCAACCTTTCCGTTTTCCCCTTCCCCTTCTGCCAGAATATCAAATATCTTCACCGACTGACGACAACCCCTTCTCACAGGTCGGCCTGACAGCGCTCTCCCTCAACGCCCTCGGGCTCAACACCTCCGCCTCCTCTGCGAATAATAGCGCCAACTACGGCGCCGCGGCCTTCTCGCCCACCACGCGGTATCGCGACGACTCCCTCTCGCGCGGCGGCGGTGGCGGGGGGTATCGCCGCGAGGACGGGGGGTACCGCGACGACTCCCTGTCGCGCGGGGGCGGCGGCGGCGGCGGCGGGTACAGGGACGAGAGCCTCGGGCGCGGCGATGCGCGCTATCGCGACGAGAGCCTCGGGCGCGGGGCGGCGTATCGCGAGGACTCGCTCTCGCGGCTCGATGCGCGCGCGGGCGCTGGTGGGGGGGATGCGCGCGACCGCGACCGCGACGGGGGCCAGCCGGGCAGCCTCCCGATCTACGCGCCGCTCGGGCGCTCGCCGTCCCTGGGGCTCAGTCTCGGGCTCGCCGCCGCCGCCTCGGCCGCGTCCTCGTCCGCCCACGCCAACGCGGGTGCGAATAACAACAACGCGGGAAATGGGAATGGAAATGGGGGGAATGGGGGAGGCGGGGACCGACAGACGCCGGCGGCGGCGACGAAGGACTGGGCGGACGCGTATTTCAGTCCGCCGAGGGAGTCGGTGTTGGGGGGGCTCCATGTCAATACGAGTGCGGGTGCGGGTGCGGGTGCGGGGCGGGGCGGGGGGGAGTATCCGCAGTACGAGGGCGGTGGGGCGGGCGGGGCGGGAGCGGGGGCGGGCGGGATGAGGAGGGCGCCGAGCCAAGGGCAGGGTGGTGCGGGCGGAGGCGGACCGGTGTCGCCTGTGAGCGGGCGCTATGGGCAGGTGGGTTTCTATCGTTTTGTCCCCGCCGAATGCGAGCTGACGGCGCCGTTCTCCTCAGTACCCGCAGTACCAGCAGCAGCAGCAACAACAGCAGTACCAGCAGCAGCAGCAGCAGCCCCCGTACTCGCCGCATAGCGCGCATCCGCAGGGCGGGCAGCCGTTCGGCGCGCCGTACGGACAATCGCACTCGGGCGCGGCGTCGCACCACCAGCACCACCCCTCGCACGGCGGGCAGCCGCACCAGCAGCAGCCGGGGACACAAGGCGCGCAGGCGCAGGGGCAGCAGGGGCAAGCGCAGCTGGCGGACCTGGGCAAGGGCCTGCCGCTGCACGCCGTGCCGCCCGAGTGGCCGCTGTATATCGTCGAGTTCAAGGCGGGGAGGACGGATCTGTTTTATCGGGCTGC